AGATGAAACACATATGGGAAACGCTATCAGAACGAATTTAACATTAGATCAGGATAGAGAGGAGGGGTGACAAAATAAATGGTGTAAAGTATATGGAAGGACAGAGTGGAGCGGCCTTGAGCAGGGAACAGGTCTGACGGTTTGTTAGGAGGAGATGAGGAAACAGAGCCTTTAATTGGCTGAGCACCACTGGGCACAGCAGGGATGCCAAGTACCAGCAAAATAACCTCACAACAACCTGACAGCCCTCTCCGCACACATGCAGTGTTTGAGCGAGCTCAACACACACACACACACACACACACACACACACACACACACAAACACACACACTGCAACACTCGCTCTAATGAATAAACTTGCATTACACCAATCATGGAAATTTGAAAACTTGAGCAACAAAAACAATTCAGAGAGGAGAAAGTGGCAGTTCAGCTTTAACAAGTTAAAAACTCATTAAGTTAGAAACTGCCTATGAGTGAATATTGACTAGATGGCATTTCAGATAAAGGATACACTGCAAGTTCACTGAGCTCATTTTATCACTATAAAACGGAGAGCATCTAACTTTTGAATACTGTGCTGAGAGGAGGGAGACACACACAATGCTCTGCAGTAAATAACCCCCCCATCACGTCTCACTTTTTCAATTTCAGTTCTCACTAAATTCTCTTTAAACACTATCGTTTGGATTTTGCCTCTCAGGCTTCACACAGGCCACCCTGCAGACACGACTCAGGGCTGTAAAAAACACTTCAAACTCCTCTGCACTTGCTTTATTTATATATTTTGCATGTTTTAATATTCCTCTAATAAGATGTCAGATTAATATTAAATATGGCCGTACAGGACAGTGTTCTTTGTAGTGATGCCGCAGGTGAAATATTTATTTATCACGTAGGAAAAGGTCTCTATCAACAAAAGCTACATGCAATGTAGAAGAAGTAGAGTGTGTTAATGATGCAGCTTTTTACACTGCATTTCTAATGTGTGTTATTAGACTGCCATTAATTTGAAAAACATATGACCACCTCTGTGATAATGTGCTTTCTTCTACACTGATATAAATGTGTAAAATGTCACTGTTGGCTTTCACATAATGTTTTTTGAATGTATTTTTATTTTTGACCGCTTCTAAGAGGGTGAGACCTTTGCATTTGCAATACTTATTGAATTAACATTTACAATCTCAATTTGGCCTTTTAGAAAACAAAAAGGTTAATTTCACAGCCGTTCAGCCTTTTGCCTGACACTAGTGTCCCTGCGGACCGGGAATGAAGCACACTGCCAAAAAGAGCAATTAACAACAATTGAAACTATCTAGTGGTTCCCATGCTTAGTCATTAGTGATAAATCAACTAATTCCCCTTCCTGTCTGTAATCTCTTCATTGATGCTACGCTTCAACATGCCGGAGACATCTGTCCAGTCTGGTCCTGATCAAGACGGCGTCCCTGTTAGGCAGATGAGTGAGTGTCCCTGTCTTTAACGGTGCCCCGGTGAGGCAGGACGCTCCCTAATTCAGCCACTGTCCGTGGGACCTGGCAGTGATGGACTGTGGCCAAGGCCCTCCTCAGGGCTGCGGCACAAAGTGGTGCAGCTCCTTCATATCCTAACTCAGACAGCCACTCTGCCACTGAAGGCTTGGATATATTTCTATTGCTGTAGAGAGTTATGGTTTGTTATTCTAGGGGGGGAGGTGGGTGGAGGTTGGATTGATTACTCCTCAGGATGAGGGTGGGGGCAAACCTAGTCGCTGCTTTATGGTGGTCAGATTAAGATGAAGGATGGACTGGGCTGGGAGTTTAAACTGAGCTGATCGATTCTGTGATTATTGGGGAAAGAGCTTGATGCTCTGTGTGCACATAGATTAGATATCTGCATTACAGTCATTTCTATTAAAATGAAATATATTTCTGTTTCTTAATGAAGAAACCTGGTCTCAGGCTTCTCATCAGATATTGAACGGCTATGTGAAGCCCAGCGTCTGATTCTCCATTGATCCCGCTCTGATCGGACAGCCTTGGTGTGTAAGCCTGAAAAGCTCCGACAGGCTTTACACACTGCATTCCTTCTCTCGCTTACGTTCCCATCCATTCTGCAGGAAATCAATGTGGGGCATTGGTAAACAGAGTTATTAGGTAGCTGTTTACTGCTAGTGTATAAGAGTATTAAGCTACAGCTGAGGGGCCTAGCCTGTCAATAGTACCAGTCCCTGTGGACAAGATGGCATCGCAATAAAACCTCCCAGCTGAGCAAAACTCAAACACACTGAAGGCAACAGTACATTTCAGAGCGGGACGGAGCAAATCTGCAAATCTATATGACTATATCGACATCTATATAGCTCTGTGTTGATGTATATCTGTTTTGGCATGGATAGAGATAAAAGACAGAGAGTGCTGTGACACAGACGAGCCAGAAATCAGTGCTGCCTGTTTACCACCGTGACTGAAGGCCTCATAAACCCACATTAAGTGACGTGAGGGTCCGCTGATGTATTACCTATTAATGCTGGGGATTGCTGATCCAAGTATCGGGGGGGGGGGGGGTCCAGAGTGCAGTTTTGAGCAGGGGGACATACAGTAAGACATTCTTGCTATAATGCTCCAGATTTAGAAAGTTCACTTCAAAAAGTCACAATGTGGAGCAGAGGGACTCACTGTAGATTACTTCAGAGGGGTCTGAAGTTCAGTTCATTCATGTCTGTGTGTGTGTGTGTGTGTGTGTGTGTGTGTGTGTGTGTGTGTGTGTGTGTGTGTGTGTGTGTGAGAGAGAGAGAGAGAGAGAGTATAGACGATGTGGAGAAGTGGAGGGATAACAAGCCTGCAAATTACAACCTTCTTCAATTTTCCACATCAAGGTCTTTCTGCTGAGGGAAAGTTGCAGAATTTGAGGCAAGTTCTGAAAATCCTAAATTGACCTGACTCAGAAGTGCCCTTCAGAGTGAATCATGCGAAAAGCAAAACAAACGAAACTTGCTGTATCTTTGTAGTTTGCTTTCTCTGGGCCATGATTGTTTTTTACATTCATCCTACTGTACATGACTGTCTCCCTCCTCCAGCGTGTTCTAGTTTAATGTCAGACACCAGCTGAGGTGCAGAGGAGGGAGACTCATTAGTCCTGTCTGTGAGACAGGAAGCATCAGCGTCATTACCAGTCATTAGTTCACAGACGGCGGGTCACGTTGCCACCGCCATACGGCCTCTCTCAGTCATTCACACGTACAGTACGATGGACCGACTCAGGAGTGCCACCACACCCACTTCCTGCTGTTGCTGTTTCTCATGTTTTTCACTGTGTGTGTGTGTGTGTGTGTGTGTGTGTGTGTTTCTGTACACTCATTCATTCATGTTGATTCCTTTGATTCCATCTGTGTTTGCCTCAGATGAGGCGTCTTTCCTCCCACCTCATGCTCATAGCTACACTGTGGCTTAATGCTACACAAATTGACAATTATCATGCCAATCTTCACCTCATTGGCCTCCAGCAGAGTTTGGAATAAACTTTAAAATGCTGCTGATTATTTTTAAACCAGTGGGGTTCAAGCACTCCCTGCGTATTCAGAACGAGGCATTACCAGTCAAAAGGATTCAAATTAAAATTCATTGCACCTTTGCAATTAGGGTCCGTATTCTTTGTAACTGACGGCCTGAAGACGTCATTAGACTGGCAGGTCATTTCTCATAACCCATCAAAATCAATTTCTGTTTGCATTTGTTATTTATTGCTGTCTATTTTTATCAGATTTATTTGTTACAAAGCTTTTGTAATCATCTTGTAATTAATAGATACAATACAAAAGGCTTTGGGTTCCTTCATAAATTTGCTGAACAGAATGTGGTAAAATAAGGAGAGGGAGGTGAATAATTGTGCATGCACACTGGGGGTGTAAAATGAATATAAATACATTATTTGGATTTGCACAGATAATGTCACCTGAAAAGATGTGAAATACAGCTTCATTTTTCCTTCTTAACCATTGGCTGTGCAGCGCAGGATGAAGCTTGACGGATGTTTCCGAGGTGTTATTTTTTACCTCGAGATCCCATTAAACTCCGGCACCTTGACAGCAGACTGGAAACTGACAAGCTGAAGTTTGGGACCTTCTCTGAAGTGCACTGACACTTCAAACAAACTTTACTTCCAATCATTTCTGACTTTTAACACTGAGCTGCTGCTCTGTTTCCGCCTGCACCTTTCACACTTACACAGCTTTTATTTAGACTCACTTCTTACTGTTGTGTGAAGGTGGGACTGAAATACAAACCATGTTTAATTATTTGGCTGATCCAGGTACATGGTTATGTTGTTGAGAGCTTATAGACATACACATGAGGAGAATAAATGGAGTAAAAAACTATTCAGTGCAGAAAGTGAGGCAGATTAGACAATTTAAAACCACTATATACAGTATAAATTTGAATACCAGTGGTGGATAGTAAGTACATTTACTCAGTTTTGAGGCACTCTACCTGAGTATTTCCTTTTTCTGCTACTTTATATTTTATACTAGGGAATATATTGAACATTTTACTCCACTATATTTATGTACTAAATTTGATTGACAGTCAATCTGCAAATTAATGACACAAAATCAATCATCAAACAAATTGTGATGTAACAGGCTAAGATGTCATTTCATTAACAAGATCCCCAGCAGTATATAAAGGGGTTGAAATAAGCCTGAGCTTTACCAGTTGTAAGTCCAATAACAAACATTATACTGAGCTGGACTTCTCTGCCTAATCAGCACTTTTACTTTTGGTAATTTCGGGGAAAATTTGATGATAATATTTTTGTACTTTAAGTAAAATTCTGAATTTCTGCAGCTTGATATTGCTACTTCTACTTCAGTAAAACATCTTCCACCGCTGCACTACAGGTACAGATATTGTGACATAAACAGATAGTTCTAATAGATACGAACAGACACAAACAGATAGAGATAATTCCTAACGCGCACATCACAGACATTAAACCTGACGCACGGTGACTTACACTGGTTGTGTGTGTGAGCCTTCTCTGGTGATAACGCCCTCTTTGTCCATCAGCATTTGTCTGAATGTGCTCACTTTCTGTCGGATCTCTTCTTCTGTGTACCTGAGGACGGACATGAAGACATAACAGTTAGCGAGGGAACACTCATCGGGGGTTTTGCAGCTTTGACGACTCGCTTCAGTAGCGAGCAGACAGGGGTGAAGTGAACTCTTCTCAGCGTTAACCACAGACTGTGTGAAGGCCTATGAAGAACCTGCAAATTAAAGCAGCAGCTTCTAATGACAGTCCTGAATGCAGAGGGGGCACCTGTGAAGCTAATTGTCATCCGTCATAACTCCTCCCCCCTGCTATCACACAGAGTCTGAGCAAAATGTCAAAGACTGTCTCCAACCGTGTCCTGACCAAACATTACACTCTCCCGAATGATGTATATTCTGATGACTCACTGTCAGCCTCTTCTGACCCGGGCCGGTTACTTGTTCAGGCTTGGGCTGCATGTCATGTTTTATTCTGCGGGTAAGCGCTGTATAACTCGCTGAGCTGAGAGGACCTGAGGGGCAGAGGAGCTCTCAACAAGCTGACACACACAGAATACTGCCGACCGCTGCAGTGGCGCACGAGAAATTACTGTCAGTGTCACATTATAGATTTGTATTCATATTTGCTAATTGATTAAAATTCGGGCTTTTTTTCATTCCAGGCGTATAATGGGTGCAGCAGGAGAGAATCACAATGATCAGTTATACTTTAATTCATCGTGATCTTACTTCTCCTCCCCGTTTGTGAGCAACACCGCAGCCTGTGTCCGCAGACCTGCCGCTGGAAACGTGGTGACAGCTCTGCAGGGACACAGCAATAATTCAAACAGCCTGTCTGAGCAATCACAGCAGAGGGAATGAAGTCGATTCTGTTCTTTTTCCATACTACAAATACTCAGAGGGTAGCTGTGCAGCTCTGTGAAGGTACACGGCCCTTTAAATGCACTTGTACACCGAGCTGATCTCCTGGTGTATTCATACCATCTCACACCAGCTCCACGTTCCGCTCTGGCGCTGGTAATGAGCTGTAATGAGCTACAGAGGCACAGAAACATGAAGGCAGAGAGGAGGGAGAGGAAAAAGCCAGAGAATTAATAAAGCTGTGAAAGCGTGGCCGAGAGCCAGATGACAGAGTTAGACCGGCTGGAAGCCTCCGCCATTAATAAATCTACTGTGGTGTTCATATAGAGTTCAACAACAAGAGCTGTAGCTTCATATTTAGAGAACAGATAAGAGAGTCGCATCAGTCTTTCAAGACAGTAGTGAAAGTGAATGTGTAAGTACATTTTCCAAAATGTCAAAGTTACTATAAAAACAAAAGATTTACTGAATATAATAAAAGCTTTGGAGCAACTATAATCTTCTATTCATGATACCTACAGTATATACCTACACCACGTGTGATACGTCGCATGGGTAAAAGCATGAGGAGGCCTGTATGTGATTTCTGAACATTTCATTCCAAGTACGTCGACATGACACCAGCAGCCTCCGCTCCTCTGGGCGTGTTGTCTCACCGAACAGTTGGAGCTGCAGCGGAGGACGTGACACACGGAGGCAATTCATGTACTTTAAAACCCTCTGCACCCGACTGATGCAATTTGCATCAAAAAATATTTCTTAATTGAATCTGAACACACAGATATTATAAACATATTTCTAAGATCCAGTGTGACTTACACTTCCTGAGGATATCATTATCTCTGTCGCCAGTATGTCTCCATTATCTCCATCGAGAATAAACGTCTGTTTTAAGAATCTGCTTTGAGATCCCAGAAAAAAACGTGTCAACTTCAGAACTTTTAATGGTGTTGTTTGACAAAATGTAAACAAAGATAAAAAACAGGTAGCCCACTGCAAACCCCCAAACTTCATGGTCCTCTTTACATTCCTCAGTTCCCTCAGGCTTGTCTCGGGGGGGCGGGGTATTAGGAGACAGTATTAGACTTTGAAGCCCCAGCGCTACCATTAAGATTTCTCTTAGATCTGAACTAAGGAACCTGAGCTTACAGACCCAGACCAAAAGTACACAAAAGACTTTTCCACATGCAACTAATGTTCCTGTTTAATCACAATTAAAACATCTGACATTGACAGAGGAGCTGTCCATCACTCAGTGCTGAAACAGACTCTTACATGCTTCAGATTCTCTCTCCATCTCTTAACTGCAGCTCAAGGCACGACCAGTTCTCAGCACGGAAATGACATTAGTCTGAGGAGCGTTTACTTTTCTCAGATTAAATACAGCAGCCGATACCACGTATTCTGAGCTGTGTGCTATCAGCACACTGAAGGTGCAGAGAATGAGATTAGGAGAAGTGTGGTGGAGAGCTGTAATACCTGAAAGATGGCCCAACAGAGAAGAAGCCAGCCGGTGTGACAGCACCATCAGGTCCTGCTGCATGGCAATCTCTCAGCCCAGCGGCTGTCAACTCAGCACAATGGCTACAAGCACACACTTTATATTCAGGGCTTTCCGTGCACGGCGGAGGAGCCATCACCATACGTTAGCTGCTTCCTATGGCTGCTTTCCGACAACTCTCCAGCAGTCCCTGCGTGCTTTCAGCTGTCTGTTAGGGATCAAAGGAGGGTGTACAATAGATAAAAGGGTGAGAAGGCTCAGAGAGGATACTGGCTGTGAAAATGAATGTGTTCTGGCCAAACATGTGCCGTGACTGTCTGGCTTTCTCCTTCACATTTGTGCTGATGATGGTGAGGATGTTAGCGCCTGCAGCTACCTCTATTGACACAGCGGTTAAAGCAAGAAAATAGGGGTCACAACTTGTGGGGCTAAAGCTTCTGTTGACTCGTGGGCTTCAGTATAACTTCCTCCTCTTTCTCTGTCTTCCCACTGAACCGATCGAATCTGAAGAACAGCACAGCTTCACAGCAGGAAGCACAGCAAAGTTTGTTTCTTTTGGATGGGTCTAGCTTCCTAACCAAAGTCAGAGAGTGAAGGCACAGCACTGGTGCTGCTTCAAACATAGAGCCTCAGGTTTAGAAATATGGTTCAACAAGAATCCCCCACAGCACCTGAACACCTGCAGGAACCTGGTGAACGGTCGGCAGGTTCACCCACAGACATAAAAATCTATGGACACAATGAATTCTGAAAAGAAAACCATGTTGATGTGAGACTGAAAACCCTTTCTTCCATTATGGCTGAACTTTTGAGTTGCACTTAAAATAAGTGATGAAAGAAAAATCCATAATGAGCTTGAATCAATCTGTGTAAATGGCCACATATTGGACATTTGTCAGAAGCTATTAGAAGAAGCAGACTAAAACAACACATCTATCCTCTGCACATTTAATTAGCACTTCTCGCAGCTGTAAAGGTAGCTGCTTTCTGCCTAACGCACCATCTGTTCTGCCCTGACACCGTGCAGAGGAGGGGCTGATTGGAGTGGTCACTCTCAGGGATGGGCCGGGTAATACTGGATTCCAATTAAAATGAATGTTAAACTGTGCAGGGCACTTGTATATTTTCATTTGTGTGTGTGTGTGTTAGTGTATGTGCATGAGGTGGGGGCGAGGCCAGAGCCAGCCAAGTGGAGCCAAATGAAAGCCATTTAGCCCAGGCCTGTTGCCTACAGCATGCAAAGTCCCAGTGATTTGGACAGAGAGAGACAGGAGACATCGATCAGAGTGAGGGGGCTCCCCACCACCCCAGGCATGAAAAATCACCACGATTAAAGAACTTGATTGGAGTAATTAGACAGCTCCGAGCACCCACAGATTTCCCCCATTAACTCATGATCCTGGAAAATGAATAGCTTTGGCCCAGAGACCATTCTTACGCTGATAGTCATCGATTTGATGAGGAGGTGCCTATGTGTAGGGCGTGTGTGTGTGTGTGTGTGTGTGCTCCTCCTGACTGCCAGGGATGTCTCTGCATTTGGTATCCGAAGGGCCTTTTTCCACAAGTCGTCCCCAGGCGCTGCTGTACACCTATGAAACTCTGCAGCCATCAATCCCGCTGCAGAGAGCACAGAGGCAGAGTGACGCCAATGTAGTTAGTAAGATTGAATGGCGCTGGGAACATGGAAAGGCAAACCCGAACACCCCCACATTTCTATTTCAGGGGCAGAATTAAAAAGACTTACCGAGAGCCTTGGTGACGCTGCCACTGTGGTTCAACACTCATGTGGAGAGGATGTTCAATTGATGCTCTCTGGATTCACAGATTTTCTGGTTAGATAACACACCAGACAAAAAGAAGCAAAGAAAGAGAGACCACCTTTCTCTCACTATATAAAGCTGACCTCTCCGCCTCCCCCACAGTGTAAGCAGATCAGTGTTTGGAGCACCACAATCCGCCATTGCCACGCTTTCTGATCGTTCATCTTCTGTAAGACCTCCTGTAACAACAGCATTTGAAGCTGTTGTTGTCTCGCATGGACCTTCTGTATACGCTTGGGAGCCCCGCAGTGTAAAATGGGTCATTGTTCCTGAGATGCCTTCCCCTCCAATTTTCAGTCTTATAGGTCACAGGCTTATGGTCTTATGACGCGGGCTTTGGCTTGCAGGAAAAGCTCCATCAGAGCAGAGATAGTTATTTTCTCTGGCTCTGAGAGCATCTCTCTTAATGGGATCCTATGGCTACTCATTTCTCTTGCAATTCAAAGTGTCACTGCAGATGTCACTAAAGCAATACGGTGGCAGCAGTGGCCACAATGCTGCATCGTAGCTCCCAGGCCATGACTGAATTTAAACTGTGGCCCTTGTTTGCCCTCCTGTGCATTTAAATTCAGTCATACATCCCTGTGGTTTTTCCCTTGCTTGTGCAGGCTACACCTCTCTACTCAGCTTTAAAACAACAGATATTTAGTTTTCAATACAAACTTGCACATCTAATTTTTCTGCTTGGTGAAGCAGGAACAACAATATCTTCTCTTTTCCTGCTTATTTAAACAGCCCTTACCACTGGTGGCGCACACCGTTTTATGCATGCATTAGACAGGCGTAAGCACACACTTTGTTTAATGTGTGCGTGTGTTGTGCAGATGCGTATACGCGGGTCGTGTGTTTTAAAGGGAGCCTGCAGTTTAGACTGAGCGAGGCTCAGCGCAGAGAGCTCATTAAAGAGCTGGAAAAAGGCTCAGACGCCACAGGAGTTTGAATCATGCACAATCATTATGGTTCAATTAGCGTGGAAAAATGTCCATGAAATAGAGTGTGAACCCTGGTATGCAGAGCAGACCTTGAGCTTAAAATAAGGCAGCAAGTCGTTATCATAAGGTACCCAGAGTTGTTGAAACAAAGACACTAAGCATTTTTTACCATCTCCTCCAAGAGCCGCTCTAACAGCTCGTGTCTCACGCTCCTCCAGACAGATGTCATGTATAAATGGCCCCACGTACGTAACCTCCGGCCCAGCTATTATACATAAAAGGGCAATGTTCCCTGCAGTGGCGGAGCACTCAATGTGCCAGTGAATGGGGGGACGCTGCCAGGTCCTGGATAGCTAAATGAACAGACTCCTTTAATTGCTGAGCCTGTCTAATTGGCTCCCAGGGTGAGGCCATCACTCATGACAGACTATTTATCCTGGTCTTATCTCTGGAGAAAGAGCATGAACTGGATTTGAAGGGGGGGGGGGGTTGTGTGTCAAAGAAAGGAGGGGAGTGTCTGCCGTGCTGGCAGGGTTACAGAAGGAGGCAGACGTCCAACTTGCCCCCCCCCCCAGGCTAATCCTGCACCGAGGCCTCAGTCAGGACGGGGGCTCGCGGGTGACGTTGCAGCTCTGCCCCCTCTGTTAAATCCACAACAAATGAAAACAGACTCCAGCCACCATCTTAATTGTGTCTAATGCCTGGCATTGCTCTGCCTGTCTACCCCTGTGTTTCATCCCCCCGCTCTATCCCTTAATCCTGCACACATGCACACACACTCTCATTTAAAGAGGCACATTAGAAATTGGAGAGGCAGGGTGAGCTGTGCTGAGCCAAGCTGGCAAATGAGATTCTTCTTTTTATTATAGCTTAACAAGATGAGTTGAGCCCGTCCAGAGTTTTAACACTCAGCTGAGTGGTCACCGTCCTTCAAGTGCGACCGTCTGCCAGCCGAGCCCGTGCAGTCTTGAGGAGTGTGTGGAGCTGCTCGGTGCGGGCTTCTGCTCTGCTCGCATTCTGTCATCATTAGCCAAGCTGCTGCCTGCCACTACACTGTTCCAATAGACATCAGGGCTCTTTTACATCGCTGTCAAACCAGGGGCAACTATGTCCACTCCAGCCCAGCAGATGAGTGGACATTGACAGATGGCAACAGCGAACACACCCCCCCCCCCCCCCCCCCCCCCTTTCAGCTGCTTCAGTTTGCCATAGCTCCACCATTTCCCTGCAGTCTTAATGAGGCCCTACCGCCTGACAAGCCCAGTCATGCCCAGGGAAGGAGGGAAGGCTTGATGAGTGCGTAGACAATGAAACTTTCATCCATCTATCTCCATCTTCTCCACCCCTCTCCATCTCTCCACACTACAATGGAACGATCAGCAGCAGGAAAGGTAGTTTTCTCAATTACTGCTGCAGAAGTGAACACAGGAAAAACTAGGCGTCATCATCTTTGCATCTGCAAAACGCAGATCCCTCATTCTGACATTCAGGTTGATGCCTGTCACTGCTCATATCAAGCCTTAACCAAAAAAACAACTCATTACTTAGCTTGCCCTTTATTCAATTAAATCACCCTCATCTATCAAGGATTTGCAGGTTTCTATCATGACAAATTGTGATGTGAATAAAATGTCACCTGGTATCAGTGGGAAAGTGAGTTTACTATGTACCAACACAGGATCCCAGAGCTTGTCATTAATTATAGTCTCAGTTAGCCTGGAGATTGCCTGCAAGCTGTAGTTATTCAAGCAGCACTGTGTGTGTGTGTGTGTGTGTGTGTGTGTGTGTGTGTGTGTGTGTGTGTGTGTGGCCCTCAGATTGTGGATTAGGAGCGACTGCAGTCACCACAATTTCCATGGACACGCTTTAAAGCAACCCAAGCTCTTCCTAACTTTGCGCTGGAGGACACATATCATGCTAATGAAACAGACTACACTGGGTTGGCCTGTGTTCTTAACTGAGTGTCTCTATGGCAACCTGACTAATAACCATTACTTGAGGATAAGGCCGTTAATGCAAAGTTCAAGTGATGGCTGCAAATATGCAAAAACTTCAAGGATGAGTAACGTTGCATCCGTGCTGCAGCTTATGGGTGAAGCTTCATGTATCTTACATGTATCTAACAATGGTGTGTGTGTGTGTGTGTGTGTGTGTGTGTTTTTTATTTTCATCTCTGAGGTAGAATTCATGTCACTGCTGCAAAGAGACACGGTGCAATCTTGATTCAGGGGATTACCAGGATTTGTTGTTCCCAGCTACTGAAGCCACATCGTTTTCACTAAGATGCACACACATGAATTCAACAGCTTGAATTCAAGTAATATGCAAATGTTTGTTTTTCACCGTGAGACATTTCTGCCTTTAATTTCAACGGTTCAATTCCAAGTGCAGCGTCGATCCTGTCTAAGTCCCACTGTTGGCTTGGGCGCAGTGTAGAGACTCCAGACACACAAATACCCTTTTTACACCAAGATAGGTTTTGTAGACGCAGGTAAACTTGCTAATAAAAGGCAATTAACACCTTTTATGCCGCCAGCCGAGTTCGCCTTTCTGTTCGGACTGAGGACGCACACAATTGCAGGGAGCGATGTCTTCTCATGTGTAGCTACAGAGCACACAGACACAGAGGAGCCTCCGTGTGAGACACTTCCATCGGTGATTGTGTGTTTTCAAAAGTTATTTCAGTGTTTCTGGTTGCAGAGCGCCGTGCTGGATTCTGTGTTTACAGTGTTTGTGCTTTGAAAGAAGTTACAACAGGAAAAGGGGCAAAAATCAGCGCGTTCATCCTGGTAAATACCCACGTCTACTGCGGAGTCATCTGACCCGGATGTGAATGCAGATTGAACCCTTTTCCATTGCTGACAAAAGCCTGATGTTAGCGGGTCTTGACCTGCTGAAAAGGGGCTTTACAGTCGCCTCTCTCTTCTGTCTACCTGACAGTGAGGATCTTCATCACCTCACTGATTCTCCACAGGAGCCTATTGCTACCAGTCCATTGAGAAAGACCATGAGTCTTCACTGGGTTGCTAATTGTGAACACTGCCAATTATGTTATCTGGGGCAGGTGGCCAAGCAGGAAGTAACCACGTCCCTGCCAACATGGTCCCTGTAGAGTCCTTCATTTAATACCAAACAGTTCCCTGTGCTGGGAAACAGTTATCTTAGGAGCAGGGCAGCATCACACATAATGACGTTAGTTTCATTTGTCAGAGCATTATAGCAGAATGCACTGCTTTTAACAGGACTGAAAAAAAGGCGCTCGATTGGTCAGATCACAGCTACTGATAATATTTCCATAGCATGCTGCTCAAACAGCCGTGTCCCCAAAATACAACCGCTATGCACCACTTCCTAACAATAACACAGCGTCTTATGTTTACTCCCCTCCTCTGCAGGGGCTTGTTTTTCCCCTCTTCCCAGGGCTGCAATGAAAATGACTTTTGGCAGGTAACAGATTTTGAATGTAATGTTTCGGTGCAGCTTGTGAACTCAGCAGCCCTACAGGTACATACCTGTCAATGTCAAGTTCTCTACAGCACATACGATGTTTTCATGGCGTGCACTTCAACCGGCTCCCCAGCAAGTGAATCATAAGGAAAAGATAAACAACTACTGTTTCAGTGGAAACAGTTCTGTCACTTGACATTAAATACCCAGTGCAACTGAAGAGCTTACCTGCTCGTTGGAACAACATTTATTCAGTGCTACTTGAATGTTTTCGTGCTTAATACATACGGGGCCTCATGCAAGAACACCGTCGTATTCTCATCCCAGAACTCTCTTTAAATTGCCACCTGCTTACTGTATGAGTAGGAGTGCGTAGGTGAAATCTGGTCATTAGCATAATAAGCGCTCCCACGTTGCTATTAAAGGCTACCTGTTCGGTTCCATTTGTGGCAGCGCTTCATTCACGAACGTGTCACCCCGAGATTAAAAATAAAATAAACTTCAGGTCCCTGTGTCGGGAGTCAGTGGACCAAAGCAAGAGCCCTGTCAGCAGTCGTATTATAGCTTTTGAAATAATAACAAAATATTAAAACAGCTGCCTTAGTTCTTTCTTTTTATTTTAGTTGATTTTGGTTTCATATTTAAACTCTAGTGTCATTCGGATTAAGGCGTTATCATTTTGGAAGACACTCAAGTATTTTTCCGACTGAAGGAAGGCAGAGTATCTGTACATGAGCCAAACCTCAGACCTGGATCATCTGCTAATTTTCTGAGTGTTTCAGCTACACTCCTCTGTTGTCCGCGTCACAGACTGATGGAAAAGATGCACTTCTGTTTTCATCTATCCAGCTGTCTACACAGGTCACGTAACAGTCATGCTATACATGCTTGAGCGCTACCAGAAGTGTATTTTGTGAGTGAAGTGAGTTTTATGAGTGAATTAGTGCACGTATCTACAGCGACTGCGTGTTCAGCTCAAAGCGCTGCTAACTCACGGCTGCAGCTGCTGAGCAACGAGCTGAAAGTCACGATCAAAGCTGCAGATTTCGGGTGATAATTCTTTGTAGGTTGATCGTGAGCGACACCCTTTCACATCATTCACGTCATTTGATGGTCACTATAAAGATACTGATCATAGCAGCTTTAAGTATGTGCTGTTCTTAAGAGGTCCTTGCATGAGGCCCATCGTGTTATTGTTATAAGTTGCTCATCACATCTACTCACCCCTGCTCCTCCATCATCTCCTGGAGCTCCATACATTTCAGCTCTACCCTCCTCTTCCTCTCATGGTCCAGGATCTCTCTGTGTGGCTTCTTCACCAGGACGGGCTCTGCTTTGGGCTCCTCCTCCTCCTCCTCCTCCTCATCCTCCTCCTCCTCATCCTCCTCCTCCTCCATACCTGGCTGTCCGTCCTCAGCTTTAGTTTGTAGGACTGCAGTCGGCGTGGGCGCTCCTGACCCCGCAGCTGTTCCTGCTCCTGCTCCGGGGACCACCGGCTGCGACACCCCATTTGCGCCATCCTTAGGAGACGGCACCCTCGCTGCATCGTACATGATTACTGAACTCTGTGGAGATGGAGAGAAAGAGATCAGCTGATGGAGGAAAAGAAGAACTGTCAGAGGAACACTTGGTATTCCCGTGGATTTTAGAAGTCTCATTTCGTGTTAATGATTTAACGTCCAATCTTCCCGCGAACCTCCATTTGGGAGGATTTCGGTTGTTGCTGATTTATTACTGCACTGTTCACGGTGGTGAGAGCGTGTAATTCTTATACACACGGCTCACATTTAATAACATAAAATATGAAAGTAGAATATTCTTCATTTCCACTGTGTCAAGCCCATGAAGGAACCTTTACCATCATTCCACACATACACACACACACACACACACACACATACACACACACACACACACACATTCCTACAGCAACCAATTCAAACACACAATAAGCCACAAACATTTAGCGGCACACTGAAAGGTGAGCTGTTTGTGACTTGATGGTAATGTCAGTGGACAGGCTGCAGCGTTTTTGCCTGAACCGAGTAGTGCACTTTGCAAACCGTTCACACACATCATCATACTGTACACACACACACACACACACACACACACACACACACACCATGGACCTTGAGTAGACATGCATTGCCAGCGACAGCGCTGACAGCAACTTCTGCTCCATGAGTCAACAACCCAGTAGCGCCTAGAGGCAGGAAGGTGGGGAGGGCGTGGAGGGGGTGGAATTCCTCTTTAAAACTCTCTGATCTCCTGGACCCAACTGAAGCTGTAAAGCAACGTCGTATACCACACACACTGTACATCAAGACAGGGGAAGGAGGAGAGGAAGAGGATGACACAAAGCCTGTAGCAACAAAACACGTGACAGTGGAGAACAGGGAAAGTATTGATTTATCTTTGATATAACTTGATTGATTTTATTATATCGACCATGAATGCATTCTTTGTTCTCGACTTTCGCAACCTTTTTGTTTCTGGCTCGTTTACTCGTGAAATGATGATCTTGTCATTTTGGTGAATAAAAAAAATCGCCTCGTCCAAGTGCTGCATGGACTGCGCTCTGATTAAGATGGATCGTCCTGTTAAGGCCGGTGTAGAACAAGAGCGGGAAGACTGGGAAGGCCTTCACGTGCCCACGAGCCTCGGCCGCCTCAGCGCCTCAGCTCCTCTCCCTCTGCGACTAATGGCTTCATTTTTCAGCAAGGAGCCAAAGAAGCCCAGCTAAGGCACTTCATCACTGTCACACACGGAGACAGGAAGATACTGAGGCTGGATGGACGAAAGCTCCACCGCTACATTTACATCTTCTACCAACTTATCCCATCCCATCACTGTGATTGTGTGAGCAGCCTTCAGGCAGGCGGTTCCCTACGATTGAGCTGATTCGGAAAAGTCTTTGACTGGTTAATAGGGATGTGCTTGTTTTTGAAGTGCTGCGAGCTGGTAAACGAGCCGTGGATCTGTGTGCAGCGACACGACTCTCGGGCTGACAGAACAGGTGGCAGGACAGCAGGAGGTATTATCTCTGAATCTATTATACAGTAAATCAGCACTTGATATTCCATGACAGAGATCTCTCATCTGCACAAACTTGTCTGCAGAAGGTTCTTGGGAGAAAAAGCTCTCATCTATCAAAAGAGACTTTAAAACGGCATTCAGGAAGACTGGAGCACCCTCTGTACCAGCTCGGAGGAGAGACTTTTTTGTTTCTTATTTTTGCTTTATTGATACGACAAAACCCAACGGCAGTGACAGCAAAGAAACGAAGGAACAAAAACAAACAAAAGTCCAATGAAATGAAACAATCAACCGAGACTTACTGTAAATCCTTCCGTGTGATTTCTATGCTCCTTTACACCTTTCACAAACGTATACATTACACTCCAAACAAGACTCCACTCTGCACCATTTGCATTTATGAAAGAGCCAAAATAAACAGGCTGTTAATGAGAAATTCAATCCAAACTCTAATCTAAGAGGTGATACGATTTTAGAAAGAATCTAGACATTTAAGTGGGACCGAATAATTTGAGTAACACTTCAATTTAAAAAACATTTAGTTAATTTAGTTTTAATGTAGTTTTCTTTCTTCATTCATTAGCCATACCGCTTATCCTATTAGGTGCGTGGCCAATCCCAGCTGACTTTGGGTGAGGGCGGGGTGCACCCTGGTCAGGCCGCCAGAGTTGACGTTTAGAGACAAACACATTTACAGGCAATTTAGAGTCACCTAGCGTGCATGTCTTTGGATTGTGGGAGGAAGTACCCGCGCGGAGAACATGTAAACTCCACGCAGGAAGACCACTGCACCACCGTGCCGCGGTTTGTTTGAATTTATTTTAATTAGACCAGGTGTCCACAGGCGATGAAAGCCTGAGCTGGTCTGTTCAGGTCAGGGTCTGTCAGTCAGAGGGGAGGACCATGGTTAATCTCTTTTGTGCTGGACATCACGTCTTGGCCGCTGAGTTGCCCCCGGTAACAAACAACATGATTTCCACTATATGAAACTGACCGAACATAAGAAGCTGTTTGAAATCCAGATGTAACAAGATTAAATAAAATGAAGATATGATGGCAGAAATCTTCAGAAACGGGAAACTCCCTTCACAAGTGAGATTCTCCGCAGCGCCAGATGTGTGGAGTCCGTGTCGCCGGTCTGTGTTAAATGAACGCTGCAAATATCCAACCATCTCATTATACTAATGCATCACTCCACAGCCATTCCTCTTTGTTCCCATGAGGGGGGCGGGGCGTGCACAAATCTGTTCTCTTTCAAGTTAAAACAACTAAATCATTGACTTGTGTAATGAAAAAAATCAGAGCATAAAGGGAGAGTTGTCAGTGAGCTGATAAGGAAGCAGAGCACACAGTCAATTTGTGTGAGAGTCCTCTGCAGGGACTGAAGGTTATCTGCAGCTACTGTATTAATGGTGGCACAAACCTCGTCTTCTATTATTGCGAGGGCGTGTAAGACTGTCACATCCCGACAAACGCTTTGTAATTAGTCATTATGCTAAGTGGAGTTGTTTAGCCACATTCGCTGAGTGTCACCATCAGTTATATCAAATCACAAAGACAGAATGCGTCTTGAACATTCAATATTCCAGTTTGGAGCAATGACACTGATTGCTGTTAGAAATTAAAGAGCCATTAGTTCACACCCTCTCTCCACAGAGAGAGAGAGAGAGAGAGAGAGAGAGAGGATCGTTCCTGTTGTCTGCTCCTGTGTCGGCTCTGCAGCCGACGTCTGCTGACGTCACACCTCAGACCACAAAAACAAAAACAACCCTGAAGTGTAAAATAACAGCCAATCATAGCGGTCATCCGCTCTGAATGTGTAAGGGTTGTTGCAATTTCCATAAAAGCATCGTGATTTCTCAATTACAGAGTTGCTGGTCGCCCATGCGGGGCTGACTCATCTGGAACATACAGTGGATGGATCACGTGCTGAAAGCTCAATTAATAAGAATAACACTGTGGCCACACAGTGAAAAAATCTTGGTCTCATTAGCAACATAATGTTGCATTAGGCTAATGGGACATTAGAGAGGGGATTGCCTGGACTTGAACCACTGTGTAATTATAGTGATTATTTTCTTTTTCCACAGGGGATTTCATCGAAATATATTGTTATCAAAAAGCAAAAAGATGACATAATTTTTACTACTGTCTGTGAGCTGCTATGTGTTGGGATCATTGATTCATTTTCCTGTTTGCCTCTTTGGATGGATAGATTACCAGTTTATTCAGAGTAAACTGCCTCCTTGACATCTATTGGCTGCGTTGCCATTGCATTTGGTATAAAGACATTAAGAGCGTTTCCATCCACCTTTATGCACATTTTCAATTTGCATTTAAAAAAAAAACCTGCCAGCAATTCTCAAGTCAAATGTTCCAAAAATGACTTTTTACGTTCGGCTGAGGTAGAAAAGTTGGTGCATTGATAAAAACAAAATATGACAAAGTGCAATGGAGACGGACTTCAGGGATGAACTGTGATGTGTGTGAAGTATTTGACCGAACTGTCACATGTTAGTGACGAGATGAAAAACGTTCATGACATTAATACTTGAAACAAATACGAATGCCATATTTCCATATTCTCCACATGGTTTTCCGTCAGTACATGTTTGACTGGTGCTCTTTTAATTGTGTCATCTCGTTACACCGTCTTCTCTCTAGTTTAATAGCACTTTGCATGGTTGCCCCCAAACTGTTTATCTTGATGTGGCCGACTCCTAATATTCACAAAACAGTAGTAGATGGAAAGTGACTTAAATACTTTCATTAGCATTTCCTTTGCAGAAATGTGGCTGAAACTGTGGCTGCATTTAGATGAAACTTTACATACTTTTACTTTATTTTAGGTTTATGACGCAACATGACAAACTCGGCTGTACTTTGTGTTCAGCGCTAACTACTAAATGTCAGCATGCTAACATTGTCACTATAAGTATGTTAGCATGCTGCATTTAGCTTAAAGGAAGTACAACCGCACAGAGCTGCTAGCACGGCTGCAGAGCGTCGGTCTTGTTTTCATTTGACCGTAGTGAAAACATCAATCAAGCCAATAACGAGATGAACCTTTGTAATCTGGCATCGACACTTGTAAACTCATTAATTAATATCATTACCATCACTGTCAAGGGTATTGATAAGGGAAGAGTTTAGCAGTTTTTCATTGCCTGTGTCATTTTTCTGTCTATAAGGATTAGGGAAATATTCAGCTCCGTCTTTATACAGCATGTTTTCTGAATCCGACTTTATGAACACAGTGAGTTTGTTTTTTTTTTTAATGTGGTTAATGTACACAGCCGGGCCCTTTCAGTACACAGCATATGCATGGCCATCTGTATATTTAGTCTTGATCGACCTTACAACGTAAACACTGCAGACACTGCGCTGTATGCTCATGGAGGAGAGAGACGGTGGAGAAGCTACACGGTGAGTGTGTGAATTTTTCATTATAAAAAAAATATTCTTTGCAGTCATAAAAGAATATTGAGTATTGCAGGCCACAGTCTGCACTTGACTGTAAGCAGGA